CAGGGAGCCCGATGTGGGGCTCGATCCCAGGACCCTGGGATCATGACCTGAGCCAAAGGCAGACGCTTAACGACTGAGCCACCTAGGCGCCCCGCATTTCTCCATATTTAAAAAAACATTTCTTTTTAGAGATTTTATTTATTTGGGAGAGAGAGTGAGCGAAAGCACAAGCAGGGGGAGAGGCAGAGGGAGAAGGAGCAGCAGAGTCCCCACTGAGCAGGGAGCCCTATATGGGGCTCTCTCCCAGGACCCCGGGATCATGACCTGAGCCGAAGGCAGATGCTTAACTGAGCCACACAAGCGCCCCGCCCCCACATTTGTTTTTAAAATAGAAAATGAAGAAACCAAAAATTAAGCGAAGACACAGAAACTCCCAAAGACACTGGGGGAAGTCCTGGTCATGTGCAGACCTCTGTGCCGTGGGGAACAGATGGGAAGATGAACGAGACGGGCTCCGAGTCTGCAAGAGTCTGCCCCGGACGGCCTCACATTCACTGCCCACGTCAAAGGAGGAAGGAAGCAGAGAAGCAGATGTAGACATAGAAGCTGTCTCATTAGCCCCCCAGCTACCCTGTGAAGGAGGAATTCTCAGCCCCCGTTATCATAGTTGAGGCAGGTGGCCAGAATGCAGGATCCTCTGGACAAATCTCTCACACTCAACATCCACCGAATTGGAATCCCCAAGGGGTGAGCCTGGGCTTTGATTTTTAACCAGCTTTTTGAAATGATTCCCACAGCACTTTGGGAATCACTAGATCAGTGTTTTGCGAACATGCTGAATTATGTCTGAGGACTAAAGATTAGGGCAAAGAAGTCCCGGTTTTTCTCCTGGATGTCCTGTTTCAGCAGGTCTGGGAGAGGACCCCAGAATCTTTGTATGAAGCTGAGATAAGAATGAGAAAGGAACACTGCTCTCGCTGGTAGGGAAGCATGGGGTAGGGGTGACAGGGTCAGGTTTGAGTTCCAGAAAGCTCACTCAGGCTCTGCTGTTGGGGAAGAAGTGGAGGGTGGCCAGGAGCCCTCTGGGAGGCTGTTGGAAGATTCGGAAGTGAAGGAGGCAAAGGCTGTGGGGTTGCAGAGGAGGGGATGGTTTGGAGAGATGTTTCAAGAGAAGAAGCTCCAGGATTTCATGAGTGCCTAGGAGGGATGGACTTGATGTGGAGGGGGAAGGGAGCTGTGCGGTGACGCCCGAGTTTCTGGCTCAGGTGGTTGGGGCACAGGCTGGGGCCCTCAGGCTGGGTGGGGGAGGGAGGAACAGAAGCAGCTGTGGGCGGGAAGGTGATCAGCTCCGCATAGAAGTCCTGGGTGCAGGTGCTCTTGGACTTGCAGGTGGAGGCTCCCAGCAGGGGGAGTGTCTGCAGTTCAGCAGAGGGGTAGAGGTGGGTTTGCATACCGTGAGTGTGAAGGACGCCCTGGGGAGCACGGGGGGTGAAAAGGGCCAAAGGGAGAGGTTGGAGCCCTGAGGACTGGCACCGCTTATAGGGCAGACATGGAGGAGGGACCCCCCAGAAGAG